AAATAAAATGAAAATCATAGTAAAATTTGCATATTTGCTAACACCCCACCCCTGGACTAAGCAAAGTTCGGTTTCTTCATTTTAAAATCAAACACGTTTTGGGCTGTAACGGCTTTGTTTGTTTTGTACTTTTCATTCAAAATATATATGCCTCGAAAAAAAAGCTTAAAAAATTATGTTTAATACAGTGAAACCCTTAATAACGAATACATCGAAAGAATTCATCATATGTCATATTTTTCACTTTCTGATAATGGAATGTTGCAGATATTTAGTTTATTAATTCAATGATTATATGGAACTCTTTAAAACTGTTCCCGCATATTAATGTCTATTTATTTATTTTCGCAAATACTGAAATGTACTTAATATAATATAAAACTGTTGAAATAAAACGTCACACTTTAGCACAGGACTTTATTCAGTAAATTTTAACATCGATGTAGAAAAGTTAAAACCTGCAAAAATACAATAAATTACATAGAAAGGATAAAAGAAAATTAATTGAATATGAAAAAGTTTGTTTAAATTGCATTGATACAACAAATGACAATGAAGGAATTTTCTTATTATTTTATTCTGGTTAAGTGGCATTATTTTTAAAGCAATTCAAAATAGGAAAGAATTTTAAATCAAAAATAATTAACTTATTTACATTAGCCGAAAAAAGCCATAAAAGTAGAGGTTTCTGGACATGTAGTCCAGTGTGAATGATGGCTTACATAATTCTGAAATATTGTAGGTTATAATCAAAAACAAATAATTTTAAAACATATTTAACTAACTAAGCAGTTCACTGTTCTGTTTGATAATGAGTGAATGAATGTTCACATGTGGATAGTTCCCACATGTTTTAAATGCCCATACCGTGGATGTTAAGTATACACCGGAAGGCCCAGGTAGTTAAGATTGGAGTAGGACGACCTTTGCTTTAATATTTTAACAAAAACTTATTGAAAAATTGTCAAGACGACATTTTGATAAATTCTTCCGATGTATTCGTTATTAAGGATTTCATTGTAGGACAAATTGTGATTGCAGGCCAAAGCTCTCTGAAATTTTGACAGAACCGTTAAATCGACGTGACCTATATCATAAGATAGACATATATCAAGCGTATACAAACATTATAGAACGTATTGAGACAGACAAAGTACGTCTTAAAGACGCCAGTTATATTGGG